CCCCAAAACCCCAAAACCCCAAAACCCCAAAACCCCTTTTAGAGCAAAATATATTGAAATTTAGTGTATTGTGCTTAATTATGGGAACCATTCTGAAGAGAGAAAGCAGTCCCAATTCGGAGAGGTACCTGTCTCAATGGATGCATCCGTCTTACACTGGTTATAGTGCACTCTTCTCCTCCTCGCGTCTTCTTTGACAGAACGGATAAAGTTCAAGTTCCTTATCTCTCAATACTTATGTTCTTTGAACAAAGGGGTCTCTGAGTAAGCATCATTTTTAGGCGCTAAAAAATATTACACAGGACTTACTCTCAAAATTATTTACCTTGCCCAACTCAATAGTTCTCTTCACCATGGTATATTTCTGTTTTGAAGTTCTTTGTACTGGTTTAGAAAAGGTTTCACGGGGCTCTTGAAGAACTTTTGGCTTAATTTGAGGTATTTACAATGGTAGCCTTCTTAACCTAAGGATCAGAATAAAGCTCACTTTGATATCAATACGTGCCTCTAAAGGATCGCATGGGGCAGGACTTGAGCAAGAGTTACTCGCTCTTTTATTATCTAACTTCTCATCATACTTCTTTTCTTGAGTAAGAAATTTATTCAAGTTTCTATAAATTACAAAGACGGATTACTCCAGTACTTTTAGGCGATTCTCAAGCGTGATACCTTTAGCATTGATTCCTCTGGTAATCTCTGGAGAGTCTCATGTCTGTACATAAATATGGTAGACTTACCACAGCCCTTAAGTCAGGCTTTTCGGACATAGTTTTAGGAGAGCAATAGGTATCAATAGTCAGTGCATTCTTCTTCCTTCTCTTTTTATACGCTGTTCTTTGGATACTTATTGAGCCACCTAGATTTTTTGGTCGAACAAGAATTTACTGATAATTTCAGAGCAATTCTGAACGCCAGATGAAGACTTATTCAATGATATCTTGCTCATTGAGGTTGTATCTGGCTTAAGCTTAAGGAAAAGGCTCCCTTTGAATGCAGGTAGATTCTGCTTAGCCATGCGTCTATAAAAGTTAGCATCTAAATTGGCTTTATTCAATCTCAGGAATTCATCAACAGCTTGTATTGTTCAAGATAAAATTTGATAGGGAAATATTTCAGAATATTATATATTCTGCATTTATTTTAGGCTATGATAGGTTATTACTTACATTCTTTTTGATAAAGCATTAGATTGAGCCCGCTTGTGGTTCACCAACTTGCTCTTGACTATACCTTAGGGATAAAGCTTACATTGTTTATGAGGTACACTGTAGAGACTCTTAGGTTCTAAGATTCAAGATTTAATAATTACCAATTGCACCTTTTCTGGAATCTGTATTGATAATATCTACGTAGCTCGCATTTTGGGCTAGAACATGATAATTTAGCATTACCTATCTTGTTAGACAGAGCTAGAATCTTAGTGTCAACTAATTTCTGGTTGAAGAATAGTGATTTGAATGAGGTGTTATGCTTAGTGACTTTCTTCCTCTTCTTGTAAAACAGGTTATGCATTAACATAGAAATTTCCAAAAATCAAAGCAAACTAATAAAATTTACTCCTATATCCCCAAAGACTTACCTCCGAAAGCATGTTTCTAAAGTAATCGTACCTCATGCTAAGCTTAATTTGCCTCTTCTCTATACCTAAACCTACTACCACCCCTAAAACCTCTACTCCACCACCTAATCCCCCTTACTTTTGCCTAACTCCCCTTTTCCTCTCCTTCTCATCCTCCTTCCTATACTTTTAATCTTCACCCCCAAAATCCCCCACTAACTCACCAATCCTCTCCATTCAAGGCTCTTCCATACTACAATCCCCAATGACCCAAAAATCCACTTCAGCGCCTAATTCTCCACCTAAAACCCCACTCAGCTACAGAATTTTCCAGCTGTTCGCCCATCGGCCATTACTCACAATATATTTAGTTCAATATTATTACACCCTCAGGGGTTTTGGGGTTTTGGGGTTTTGGGG